ACAGAATCAGTCACAGGTTCCCAATTCTTCATTTACAATGTGTAATTTGCATCTTTGTAGTGGTTGGATAGGGACAGATTTATGGAAATAAATTTGTATATATTCATATGTATATCATTTATGTGAAACCAAATGAATAGGAGGATATAAAAGGGAAACTGCAGTTCTATAGGGTCTTTCTGAGAACAGTCGACACTGATTACATGTTACATGAGAAATAAAGAGTTTTACAGTGGGGCCATTTCCTGGCCATAGATCCTGAGCTGGATGCCAAGACTGGTGTCCTTGTGTCTGGAAACCAATGCCAGCACCGTGAGTGCAGGGATGTGGAAAGCCACCGGCAATACACAGCAAAAGGGGCATTCCCGGCAAGTGTGTATGCACACCACAGTGAAGTAGATTCACCACACTGAGTTTATTTTAATGTAAAATTTTACTTTCCAAAGAGAAACAGAACAGAAATAAAATATTGAGGATAGTACCTCTGGTGAGGTCCGGGTGACGAAAGTGGCAATGTCCATGCCCACCGACACTGCTGGGGACAGGGCTATTGTTGGAGCGAGGACGTGGAATGGCCAACACCTCCAGTACCTGTGGTGCTGACCTCTAGCAGATGGAAACTGCATGCCTGTGGCATGCATGTAGCCAGTCAAGGCCACATGTATAGGCAGCAGAGGTGTCACACACTGCGTGTCACCCCAGAGGCTATCTACATGCACCTAGGAAAGACAGAGGGACCCAGAATAAGGGCGCCAGCTTGAAAACAGCCTGGACACACGATTTCCTCTGCTACCGGAGGATAGCATTTTGTTGACCTGAGCAGGGTAAACAACACCTCTGCCCGTTCTTGGGGTGGAAGGAGTGATGCAAAAGCAGAGGTGACTGCTATGCAGCCAGCCTTTAAAAAGTGGAAACAATTTTAAAAACAGAATTTGAGCAAAGGCATCAGTAGCTACCCACCACAGGGGAAATGTTTTCCCAGCCTTTTCCCAGAAAAGAATCCAAACATAAAATTGATGTAAGTGTTTGAAAACAAACTCCAAACAAGCAAACAAAAAAAACCTGGCAAGTACAGTAATTCTGAGGAAGAGGAGGAGTTCAGAACCCAGAGATGCTGATTATCCAAAATGTCCAAAAATGGTAAGAAAGGAAAGCAAAGAAATAAGAGAGCAGTCCATAGTTAGAGGGGAAAACCAGCAATAGGAATTGTCTCTAAGTATTCCCTGATACTAGATTTAGCAGGAAAAAAATTCAATACAACTTTTATAAATATGCTCAAGGATCTAAAGGAAGCCATACATAAATGATTAAGGGAGAGTTGACAACAAATGTCAACAAGCAGAAACTGTAAAGAAGTAGATGAAAGTTATAAAAAGAGAGAAGCAAATAGAAAACTCATTGAAAAGCCCAACAAACAAAATGAAAAATTGACCAAAGTGACCAACACCAGATTTACAATGGCAGAAGAGGCTTGCAGAGAGCTCCCAGAGAAGTCACAGAAATTATCCAGCCTCAGAGCAGATCAAGTAAGATTGAAAAGAGATGAGCAAGAACTCACAGATCTGTGGGGTACAATCAGAGTCCCAACAACCATGTACTGAAGCCACCAAGGGAAGAGGAGGGATAAACAGAGCTGAAAAGCCATTTGAGCAAAGCTAGGCATGGTGGCACATGCCTGTAATCCCAGCACTCAGGAGGCTGAGGCAGGAGGATTCACCACAAGTTCGAGGACAGCCTGGGTTACAAAGTGGGGCCCTGGCTCCAAAAAATGAAAGAAAGAAAGAAGGAAGGCAGGAAAGCAAGAAGGGAAGGAAGGAAGGAAGGAAGGAAAAAGAAAGAAAGAAAGAAAGAAAGAAAGAAAGAAAGAAAGAAAGAAAGAAAGAAAGAAAGAAAAGAAAATTGAGCAGGGGCCAGGCATTTAGCTCAGTGGTTTCTCCACCTGCTGTGCAAGCGCAAGAACCCAAGTTCGATCCCCGGTACCAAAAAAAACAAAAGAAAAGAAAATTGAGCAAATGATGAACAAATTTTTTCCATAAACAACTGAGCTCCCGAATGTACGACTCTACAAATACAATTTTCTCTTAACTTCTGCAAGAATTAATATTATAGAAACCAATAATTATAACCCATAATTGTTGCAGAACATATAAAATGCAATACATATATAATAGTGACCCAAAGAAAAGGAGGGTGCAGAACAATATTAAGGCACAGTTACAATATTTCACTGGAATTAAGTTAGTGTTAATATGATGAGTGAAGGTGCAAACTGTGATTCCCAGTCAACCATTAAAAGAATGGACCAATAATATATATCTAAAATGCCAAAAATGCTACCTTTCAAATTATTTATTCAATACATAAAGGGCAGTTAAGTAGGAACAGAGATACAAAAAACCCAGGAGCCACGTAAAAACAAACAGCAAAATGGCAAATATAAATTAAATCATGTTTATAATTATATTAAATGCAGAATGATCTAATTGTCTTATTCAAAAGGCAAAGACTGAAGGCCAGGAAAAAAGCCAGCTCCAACTACTGTACCCATCTGTGAAGGAGACGTTCCTTCTATTCCAACACAGAGAGTCTCAAAGTAAAAAGATGTGAACACCGAACAAACAGCAACCAAAGACAGCATCAGTGTTCTATCATCGGACAGAATAAGACTTTAAAACAAAAACAAAAAATACCAATCGAGACAAAGAAGGACCACAGTATTTGGAAGATCACAGTTAAGAATGCATGTTCACCTAACTCCATGGCTTCAAAAATACACGGAGCCAAGGGCCGGGGATGTAGCTCACTGGCGCTGTGCCTGCCTGGCAAGCTCAAGGTCCTGAGTTCGATCCCCAGTACTGGAAGAGAAAAAAATACATGGAGCCAAAAGTGACAGTAACTCCAGAAGGAAAAGAAAATGTCACCATACCACTTGACAATTTCAGTCTGTCTCTCACTTCCCATACTTGATAAAGCTGCAGCAGAAACACAAGAACACGGGATCTTGCCACTCTACCCTAATTCACATGGCCAGCATGGCCTGCACACTCCTTTCCCCACCGAGGGCATCTGGGCAACGTGCTAGACCAAGTCAGAAACCGGGGCGGGGGTGGGGGGATCTGGCCAAGCCAGGCTGCCTTCTGCTCCTCTCAGGTTGAGAGCAGAGCCACGCATACTGATTCACAGGTGTCTGCGGGCAACTCTCAGGCTACAACAGCAGAGCTGAAGAGTTTCAGAAGAGGCTACATGGTTTGCAAAACCAAAATTAACACATTGGTTATCTGGTTCTTTTAGAGAGTAGGAATAGGGAGGAGAAGGATTGGAACCCTTAATTCTTGATAAATTTATAGGAATGGAAATCACAAAAAGCATTTTCTCCAACCCCAACAGAGTTAAATTGAAAATGAACATTAGAAAGAAACCTGGAATGGCCCCCAAATGGCAGAAATTAAGTAATATTTCTAAATAAATTGTAAGTCAAAGAATAAATCACAAAGGAAATGAGAACACTTCAAGTGAATGAAATATTTTGTAATAGAAGAAAACATTCGGAGGACTTAGACTACGTTTTCAAAGCTTTATACAGAAAGGCACTGTAACCAGAGTGTTGCAATGGGGAGGAACCGAGAGAGGAACTGAGAGTCCAGAAAGCTGTGCAATTCATGGCCAACTGATTTTTCAAAAACAGCACCATGATAATTCAATGAGGAAAGGGTAGGAAAACTAGTGCTGAAGCAATTGTATAGCCACATTCATAAAAGTGAATTTTGACTCCACAAACTGTACACAAAAATAAACTCAAATTTATCAAAGACTTTTTTGAAACAGGGTCTCGTTCTGTAGTTCAGGCTGGCCTTGTACTATGTAGCCCAGGCTGGCCTCAAACTCACAGTGATCCTCCTGCCTCAGCCTCCCAAGTGCTGGGATTATAGCATGCACCACCATGCCAGCTATACATACCAAAGACTTTTAAGAGCGAAAACTATTTAGAAGAAAACCTAAGTACATTCTGTGACTTGTAATCAAAAAGTTCTTAGATATAACAAATAAGTTATAAAAAAAAACACATTGATAAATTAGATGTAATAAAAATATTTTTAAAATCTTTGCATTTCCAAACACAGCAGTAGACTGGGAAAACACTTGCAAATAATACATCCAACAAGGGGAATTGTATCTGGAATATAATTAACAACCAGGGCTGAATGATATTACATATACAAAGCCTCTCACAATCAGAAGTGGGGGATTCTTACAGCCACACATATTCTTCCCATACAATCCCCTAACCACACTCCCTGATATTTTCCTAAAAAGACTGGGAAAATATCCACGCGAAAGCCTGCGTGTGGGTGTTTCGAAGAACTGTACTCAGAATCGCCAAGAGGCAGAAGACACGGAGTTATCCTTGGGAACCGCGCAGTGCATCCGGACCCCAGAAGGGTTCCGTGTTCAAAGGAAAGGGGTAACCAGACCATGTGAAGGGCGGGACGCTGAGGAAAGGGCTACTTTCTCAAAGCCCGCCTACCCTACGGTTCCAAGCACAGGGCTTTCTGGAAAGGTAAAAATGAAGAGCCAGGGATTGCGTGGGAAAGAGGCTGAATTGGAGCAGTGCAGGAAGGGCACCGACCATCAGACTCTGCACCGTGGTGCTGCGAGGTGGGCACATCCCTAGTCCCACAAAACGTCCAATGCCAAGGCTGACGCTGGATGAAAACTTTCCATTGGATAGCGCTCAGAAATGATATTTCTTATCACAACTTGTAAAGACTCACAAAAGAGGACTCCACAGCTGCAGCAGAAGGGGCAAAATAGGTGGGATAAGGGTGTTTGAAGCGAGGTGGGGGATTCATAGCGATCTTTTAGTGCAATAAATTTTTTTAAATTCAAACTCGCAGCACCTACTTGGATCAGTCAGCTCTATGGCTGGCCCTGGACTCACCCATGACCACCGAGGGCTACTCAGCCCTGCTCAGGAAGTGGCCCGCAGGGCTGCAGCTCACCTGTGCGAGGTCAGCACTGCGGCGCAGCCCTCCTGGACCTCCTTCAGTATCGTCTGCCACAGGTAGCGCTTGGAGCAGGGATCCATGCCAGAGCTGGGCTCGTCCTGAAGGAGAGAGACGCGGCGGGGGCAATTCGGTGAGCACACAGAGAAATACACTCTCCACCATGAGCAGCCAGGCAGGACTGCAAGGAAATTCCTGCTCTGGCTCTCATGGTCTCCTCTCTACTGCCTAATGGTGTCCAGAAGGCCGTGAGTCATGAGCGGAGCTTGGCTCCCTCTGTCTCCTTCAGGAGGCCAATCGGGGGCCACTTCCTGCTCACCTGCCAGACTGTGCATATGACCAGCCCTGCTGAGCTACGGGAGAGGTAGAAACAGGGAGAAGGCCAGGTCATAGGAGCCTCTGTGTAGGGACCACCAGCGAGCCCCCCATGAGCCAGTGCAAAGCCGAACCCTTCAAGATGGGCTGGCAGGTGCCTCAACCTCCCCAGGAGCATCCCTAAAATATGGGGAAAGGGCAAGTGACCCCCCCCAAAAAAACAGCATAACTGCAGAACTGGAGGGAGGCACGCTACTACGCACACCAGCATGTCACCCAGGAAAATCATATGGGGGCTCTCACACCCAGCCTCCTTTTGTGCCCAATCTTACACGTTTCCCTCTCCACCCCCCAAGGACCACTAAGAGTTGTAGAGTGTGGAAGTCTAAGAACAGGTCTGAGACCCCCTCAGAATCCTGCATCCAGCCAGCTGGTGAGGTGATTCTTTCCAAATCAGGACAGACTAGAAAAGGAGACACCTCTACACATGTGAAGACAGCGAGGTTAAGACTTCATGGAACATGGCCAGGGATTTAGCTCAGTGGTTCCGCCGCCTGCCTTGCAAGTGCAAGGTCCCAAGTTTGATCCCCGGTACAAAAAAAAAAAAAAAAGAAAAAGAAAAGACTTCATGGAACATGAAAACAACAACACAAAGAAACAGGACGCCGCCCCGGGAATGCAGCAGAGTTCCAACAACTGGTCTCTAAGGAATGGAGATCCGGGAATTGCCTGGCGTGGAATTCAAAGTCACCATTTTAGAGAGCTACAAGTGAAGATGAATGGAGAACTAAGGGAAATCAGAAAAACAACACATGAGCAAAGAGAGAAGTTCCAAAAAGAGAGCAACAAGAAAAGCTCAAAGAGAAAGAAGTCATCTAAGAAGAGCCAAGCAAAACTCCAAGGCAAGAGAGGCGATGTGCAAACCAAAAATCCAGTGATGCCCGGGCAGAGCTGTTGGAGAGAATGAAAGAATCTGTGAACTTGAATGCAAGTTATACAAAGTTACCCAGTTAGAGGAGAAAAAGAAGAGAAAGCTGAGAAAGAATGAAGAAAGCCTACAAGATTTCTAGGATAGCATCAAGCGAGCTAACATGTGCATTACAGCATTTATGGAGATCCTTACATGCTGGAGGTGGGAAACTGGATTAGTTTGTCCATTATGAAAAACACAATTAAGACTAGAACTACCGTGGGATCCACATTTCCACTTCTGAGGATTTCTCCAAAGGAAATGAACTGAGTATGTCAAATAGGAGGCCCCCAAAGCCCATCCTTACTTCAGCACTATTCATATTAGCCAACGAGTGGAATCAACCTAAATATCCCCAAGCAGAGAAATGAATGAATAAAAACAGGGTACAGTCACTGGAGCACTAATTGTTATACAAATGAAAAAAAAACTTATCATGTGACAGCATGAAGGAACCTGAAGGACATTACATTAAGTGAAATAAATCAGGCACAGAAAGACAAATACCAAATATTGCACTGTGTGTGTGCAATGGAATATAATACAGCATTAAAAAGCAAGTTCTGCAGTTTTCAACAACATTTATGTGAACCTGAAGGACTCTGCTTTCATGTGAAATAAGCCAAACGTGGGAAGAAAGACAGCTACTCTTGACCTCACTGACATGTGAAATCTAAAAAAGTCAAGTTGACACAAAGCAAGGGTAGAAGGGTATAAACTAGAGGCTGCTACTGGAGATATGAGGAGATGCTACTCAAAGGGTACAAAATTTCAGTTATACAGGATTAATAAGTTCTGGAGATTTAATATATAGCACAGGGATTTCTATGATTTGAAATTTTTGTCCCCACTAAAATCCATGCTGAAACTTAACCCCAAGCGTTTAACAGTATCAGGAGTGTGGATTTGCAAGTGACTGTGTCACAAAGCTGCTCCCTCATGAATGGTACCAGGAGCCCCTGGAAGAGACACGGATGGAGAGTTTGCCCCACTTTGACCTCTGACTTCTGCCCCATGACCACGTGGTCTTCCTTCCCCTGAGGGTGCATAGTTCACAGTGCCATCTTGGGGAGATGCAGAGACAGGTCTTCCCTCAGCTCGTAAACCCAAGGGCACCTTGATCTTGGACATCCAGCTTCCAGATGGTGACAACTACATTTCTGTGCATTATAAATCACCCAGTCTGTGATCTCTACTACAGAAGCACAAGTGGACTGACAAAGACTACAGTTAACAACTCAGTGTCATGCATTTGAAATTTGCTTGGATAATAGGTCCCAGGTGTTCTCATCACATATTGGAAAAAAGAAACGGTCATTAAGGGAAGTGACTGATATGTTAATTAGTCTGAATACAGTAATCGTTTTACAGTAAATATGTTTATTAGAAAATCACATTGTGTACATTAAATGTATGCAATTCTTATTTGTCAATTATGTCTCAATAAAACTGGGGAGGGGGGCTCCACTTAAGCTTGGCTCTCCATTGAGACGTGGTTAGGTACTCCAACCTTGACGTGTTCAAGATCCATCCTCAGCCTCAGAATGACACTCCTAGAAACATGAACCATAATGGGAAAAGGTTCCATTTATTTAGCAAGTTCAAATAAACTGAAATTTCTTGGAATCTGAAGCTTTCTTCTTCAATAAACTCCAAAGCACTTGTTATCTGCAGCCCTTCTGAGAGGAACTTGCCCAGCTGCATGACGCATTTCTGAGCTTTTTGCAGCCAAGGAGCACTGAACACATTTTTCTTAAGAGCTTCAGGTCATCACCTTCTCCCCAAAGAAAAAACAGAAGGGAAGTGGAGTGGGAAGAGGCACTGAGCAGGAAAATAACATCTGGTTGTTTCTGCACATCAAGTGATAGGTGTGTGCTACTTATAAAATAAGTAAATGAAAGGTGCTATTGTGCATTGTTTGGGAGGAGGGCTGCGTGTGTCATTTTAAGTTTCCCTGAGTCTCACCATGGTGCCCACCCTGAGCGCTGCTTCCCACCTCTCTGAAGAGAACGTCAAAGGCATCGTTTTATCCCGATGCTCTGGACAGTCAGTATCTTCAGGGTCACTAACGCTTCTTGTGCGGTTATCACGCACAAAGCCCTGGCTACGTGCGTAATGGGGATTTTTCCATTTACTGTTTTCAGTGGTTCCATGAGACAGACATGACGACCAGGACCATTTTCAGACAGGAAGGAGAGAAGCACAGAGTGCATGAGGTCACATGCTGCATAATCTGCACCCCATCACACAGACTGCAGAGTCCCCAAGTGGCCACTACGCCACACTCCTGGCATTCAAGGGAGAAAGAGCAAGGATGGTGAAAAAGACAAACCTAGGGTCTGCAGGGAGATGGGGGACCAGCTCCAGAGCAGAAGGCCCTCATCCAACTGTGCCAAGCTAGGACAGGGACACTGCAGCAGGAAGTCCCCATGTCTCGGCAACTCCTCAGTGCACCCTGCCTGGCCTCGAGGCGATAATGTGTGTGTGAACTGCAGAATGGTGCAAACATTGCTCTGTATTATCAGATTCCTGCAATAGTTCTTTATTTGGGACCCTGCAATAGCAAACTTGGAATAAGTGAAAGGAATATTCAGGTGCATTTCTGATAGACAACCAGGAAACAATGAGACTATTTTTTCCAACTCAGGTCCTCAGAAATCCCATGAACAAAACGGAAATTGAAATTGATGCCTTTGCTTTATTTCCTATGCTTTTTGATACCCTTTGAGTGCCTGAGAGGATGAAGCTCTGGGTTGCAATGTCTTGATTAGAATCCGGTCTACTTATTGCATCAGTGACATTATGCATAGTTAGATCCATTTATAAAATGTAAGGCAGCTGGATCTATTTCTTGGTGGCCCTCACTCCATTTTACGTTTTGATTCTGCTCACCTGACCTGATTGTATTTGCAGGTAGATTATAGACTAGCTGGCCCTCTAGGCTGTTGCTCATGCTCTACCTCGTCCCTCCCCTCCTCATTCATGTGTCAGTCAGCTTTCCATCACTATAGCAAATAACTGGGGGAATCAACTTACAAAGAGAAAATATTTATTATGGCTCCAGTTTTGGAGCTTTCAGTCCATGATGGGTTGGCTGTGCTGATTTTGCACCTGTGGCCAGCCATTCCTCATGGCTAGGCAAGTAATGAAGCAAAATTGCTCATCTGATGGCCAGGAAATGAAGAAGAGGAAGAGGAAATGGCCTGCACCTTACAATCTCTTTTGAGAGCAGAACCTCATGACCCAACAACATTCCACTAGGACCTACATCTTCAGGGTTCTATCACCTCCCAGTAGCACCAAGGCTGGGGACCAAGCCCTTGTGGGTGTGGGGGGACTTATCTAAACCATGAAGACCCCTGACAGCCATCCTCCTGATTTAGCACAGACTTATGTCACTATTGCTATTATATAAACATACATCTGTGAATAGAAAAAGACTTGAAAGCGATATGCTAGAAGAAAAACATATGTTGGCTTTCAGATTAGAAGTGAATTCTAGTACTTTTTGAATGCCATTTTAATGTTAAAATTTAATTGACTTTTAAATCTGACAAATATAACACAAATGTCTTGTTTTATATTTTATATTCTGTTTGGGAAATACTGACTTAGTGCAGAAGCCTAATAGTTTGTAGAGTCAGTGTTAAAAGTTCTGAAATTACTTCCTGGAAGAACTCTGGTAGACTAAAATAAGTTTGCAAGTCCACATGTAACATGGATCTTGGTATTTCCACAACTTACCAATAACAGGATGTCAGGTTTGCCCACAAGGGCCAGGGCTGTGGACAGCTTTCTCTTGGTCCCTCCACTGTAGGTCGCCACAAGTTTGTCCGCGTGAGCTTCGAGGTGTAAGCGCCTCACAAGCTCTGCTGCCACCTGGACAAGAAGAGATACCCATGAGCAGGCCACCAGATGCCAGGTCTCGGCCCTGGCTCCTGCTGCTTCCTCTCACCACTCCTGCCCACCCCACACAGAGTCAGTCAAAAACAGCTCCTGATCCCATCCCTTTCCAACTCAGGGAGAAACTGAGAATGAACAGAGGGGACTTTTTGCGCCTGTAGACATAGGCTTGATGGCCCAGCACAATCTGTAATTGAGAGGGCATGCAGGCAAGAAACAGAATTGAGACTTGGTCTGATGAATATCCACATTAAGGTGAGCAGAGACAAGGGGAGGGCTTGAGTAGGAAGTAAAGCAAGACGGTGAGGTGTCAAAACCCCCAGGAAAGAGAGTGGAAACAGGGAATTCTCAATATCAACACAAGGACTGAAATGTCTGTCTTATAGCAAGAAGGCACTGAGAGAGTTTGCACCCTGAGAATTTAGATTAGGAACTATCTGAGAGTGGGGAGGGAATGCGCAAATGTTTTGTGTTCACAACTGCTAGGAACTGGTGTATCAAGTGCTGAGGTGGGCACTTCATATGCCAGCTGTCAGCCTCACCTCAGAGGATCCTGACTCCTCTTCACCTCATGCTCATGGCTCCTCTCCTGCTCTCCTCTGAGGGTCCCAGCTCATCTCCTTGGCTTTCCTTGGTGTAGGTAATAGTCCCACCCCTCTCCTGAGTACCTGCTGTGTCTCTACCCTTGTATCAGCATTTCCCACTATAATTTGTGCCACCCTCTCTGTCTGTTTCCAGTTCTCTCTCCTGTTCTGTGACCCAAAGAGCAATTTCTTTGTTTCCAACTTCACATAATTTAAACTTCTGCAGTTTTATTTAGCTCTTGTGATCACAGAGGTATTTATAGGAATTCATTTTTTTAGATACCATCATACAAACTGGTCAAGATCATACCTTAATCCAAATTTAGGAGCAGAAGGAAAAATTCTATAGGAATATGCACCTGAATTAATAATTCTGGATCCAAAATACTTAAATGAAGCATAGTTTTAAACTAATCCATATACTTTTTGATAAAAGTATAACATTTAGGACAATAACTATATGATGATGATGAAATGCTAGAAACTAAAACTGTTAGGGTAACAGCATGCTTCCTATTTAAAAATCTCAACATAAATGGCTCTATTGCTTTATTTGGGTGTCCTCAAAATAATTTAGAAAATGAACTATGGGCCTAGTCTTGTGGTCCCACAGTGGAAGTGAAAGAAACACAGACAACGACCTCGAGGCCCAGGAGTTTCAGGAAGATGGAATCTTGAACCTGCTGCCCTCTGCCTGAGAAAGTTCTCTCAGGGCCCATTATCTGGTCTTGTTGAAAACAGTCATTTTTCCCAATTTGTCTCATATGAACCATCCTCCTTCCTGGCTCTGTTAAGTCCAATTATCTCAATTAACATAAACTGAATAAAAATGTACTTAATCACATTAAAATGTTCAAACAAAATGTTTTATTCCAAACAAGTAAATAAACACAAATATTAATGGAGTATTACATGAGGGAAGAGATATGAGACCCTGCACTGCAGGAATTAAAGGGATGACACAGGGGCTAATGGAGATTGATTCACCCACATTTTCCTGAGAGATGAACTACAGAAAAGTACAAGACTCATCCCGGGGGAGCAATCACACATAAAATGAAGGCTGGGAACCAGGAAGGAATTAACAGTGATTTTCAGACCCATAAAAATTACCAAGAGGACTGAGAATGTAGCTCAGAGGCACAGCGCTTGCCTAGCATGTACTCTAGGCTTCATCCCAAAGAAGAAAGCAGGAAAAAACTTGCCAAGAAAATAAAAATGGAAAGTATGTGTCTTAGAAACTTTTATTCTTATACTTTTTATTCAAAGATTAGCCATAAAGGAAAGCTAGCAAAGAGATAAATAAAGGCAAAAGCACCTAGTTTTAGAGAAAAGCACCTCAGAAAAGCAAGTAAAGTTTTAAATAAATTTGCCAAACTATTTTTGCTTATTTTTATGAACCAAGTAATGTATATCATGTTTTCCCAATTTCACAAAAAAAGTTAAATAGTGCAACCTGCACATTTTGGATTCAGTTAACCATAGGAAAGATTCTAAATTATATCAGGACAAATGTATCAGTTTGAGCTAACATTCTCTGAATGTCATATTTCCAGAAAATAACTGAAAATGGCCTAATAAGATGTATTTTTTTGCCATGTCTGCTGTGCTCAGCACTACTATCAAAATAATGGCAAATGTAATGGCCTAGCAATCAATGCTGGCAAAATACCACCTTGCCCCAAAATGTCATAAGTGACAGACCCTCTGTTATTCTCCTGGGATAACAAAGTGCCTTAAGTTACAGAAATCTCTCTGTTGCTTTTCTCTCAGAAAGCTCTGGAAATGGTACCACATTTAAGATGAGAGGCAGGGATTCTTCTGTCTTTATACAGCTATGCTGCAGTATCATATTTGGCACACAGTAGGGCTACCAAAGCAGACTGCCCAGGAAGCCATATAAACACGCATTGCATCCCAAAGCCAAAGGTTTTTGTTAGCACTTCTGAGGTACATATCAAAATTTTCTGTGAGATTCAAGATCCAAATAACAGGTCAGGAGGAAAAATGAGCCCAGGGTTTCAGCAGGACACACCTGCCTCTGTCCTTCCCTCTGCTGACAACCTGCCTGCTCCTAGTTTGTCTTCTAACTTCTAGCTCCTTCCTGCAAAACTGTAAGAAGAAACTTCATGATGAAAGTCATGCCTAAAGGGAAGATATTGAGAAGCAGTACATGGTAGGAGTTCTTCCTGGTAGCGATTTGCAAATATTAGTAAGAGTAATACGGTTAAGGGCTCCACTTCTTCTATCCCAGGGAGGAAAAGTAAAATTCAGCATTCACCAGCTCTCATCCGTTTAGAAGTGTTGTTTGCTTGTCTGGATATGACGTTAGCCCTGAAATTATCATCAACTCTCTCCAGCTCTCTTTCACACCCCAGACCTCAGAGCCCCTGTCTCCTGAATCTTTTGGTTCAACATGGTATAAAATTCCCTACCAGGTTAGTCAAATCCAGGCTCAAGCATGCACACTGTACAAAACAGTGCAGTGTGAATGCTGGGGGAGACTGGAAATTATTACATGGACCCGTGGAGCTCAAATGCAAGCCAAATGACTGGAGCTCTTCTTCTCATCTAACTGAGCCTGTAGAGGGCTGCAGGAGTGGGGCACCCTGTACAGAGAAACAGCCAGCAGGCTGGGCAAAGTGGGCTGGGGGCTGGAGTGAGGCTGAGGTTGGGCTGCGGGGATTGGAGGGGAGGAGCGAAGGAGCCATGCACTGAGCTCGGAAGGACTTTCCAGCTAGCACAGGAGGGTCTCCTGGAATCACAGAAGACACCACCAGTGGCTGCCAACATTACCATGAAAAGAAAGATGGCAGCCTGGAGGAAAAAGCCAATGTGAGCTGCCAGTGGGTCTCGGGAAGTATCACATGTCCATGCAGCCTGAGGCTCAGAGGGGAGGGGAGGGATGGGGTGCACTCCAGGGCCCAGCTAGAGCCCTATGACAAGTAAATCACAAAGAAATGCTCAGGGCTGGAGGAGGCATACAATAACCCCACAGTTTCCACTTCCTTGACCACTCCAGAGGCTGATAAGGGATTTCATCTTAAACCCCAGCAATCCGAGCACACTAAGTGTTGCAGTCGCTTCACAATCAAGAACAAGTGCTTTGGACCTGGCCTGTCCAGTGTCAAAAGCAAGCCCTGTTGCATAAGAGCCATGTGACTCAGTGAGTCATGGAACTATCTCATGCCTCAGTTTCTCCAGTTGTAAAACAAAGCACAACTCTCTTATCTATTTCCTGTGTTGACTGTAACATGCTTATGGCTGTGCATGCTTTGAGGATGGCTGCTTTCTGAGAATGAGGATCATTAGCCAGTTTTGTCACACAGTGCTAGACCGTGCAGGTCAGTCCCTTGCCTGGGATCCAGATGCAATCAAAGGACATGGTGAACACAAGATGTTTGAATGTCTGATGCTTCTGCTGTATCACTTGGCACACTGTCTCACAGTGGAGAGTTTTTGAAAAGAAGGGGTTACAAAATAATGTAATCTAAAATAATGTCTAGCACAATATAAATCCATAAACCAGTAACAGTCTCTAGTTACCAAGCATCACATGTGCACACCATTGTGTGCGCTGTACTTTTATGTGACTGATAACATGAACTCGTTCACACCAGCACTGCCCCAACACACCAGCCACAGTGTGAGCTAGGATGGCATGCTGACACCTGCAATGCTAGAGGAGAGCGCGATTCTTCAGTTTCCTGGCAGCCTTACACGATCACTGTCCTGCATGCTATCTGTGGTTGACTATAATGATCCCTTCCGGTCGCCTTGTGATGAGGTCTCCAGAATACACACACTTGTTCTATATGTCAAATATTCCCACAATTTACAGGGGATGGAAATTTTCCAGGAAGGGAGCTATTGCTTTGGGGAACAGATGGAAGAGGAAGCTGATCTCTGAGAAACCTCAGAGAGAGCAACTAGCAACACCATAACTTCTTGGTGGAAGAGTTCAGGCAAACAAGGCTGTGAGACAGTGGGTCCCAGGGGCGCCAAGCCCCACACTGAGAGCTGCTGCATGGGCACATTGCCCACGGACCACAAAAGGATCAGCTCACTGCACTCGCCAACCATGTATCTCTTTAATCAAAGCCTAACAAGGGCGAGCTGACTGGAAAAACGCCTGTTAAAGGCAGAGCCAACAATTAGTGTGGATTCCAAGAGCCGCCCTGGAGCCTCCAGGAGCAGCCCTGCAGAGGGCAAACTATCTTTGAGTTATTAAGCAAGCTCCTCCGGGAGGGCTGGGGGATTTAGCTCAGTGGTTCCGCTGCCTGCCTCACAAGCTCAAGGTCACGAGTTCGATTCCCGGTACCAAAAAAAAGAAGAAAAAAGCTCTCTCCAAGGCCTGACACAGGAAGGCGGGAGAGTCAGCCCGAGCTGCTCTTGGGAATATGGAGCTCAAGTAAGAGGAGGCTGGCCGGGGATTTAGCTCAGTGGTTTCGCCGCCTGCTGCGCAAGCTCAAGGACCCGAGTTCGATCCCCGGTACCAAAAAAAAGTGGGGGGAGGCTGAGGCACTGCACAATCAGCACAGGGAATGGGACTTCCGGGACTGGTAAGGCCAGGCCGGGAGTTCTGTCTGTGAGGCCCATGAGGTTCCAGCTCCTGCAGCCTCTTACTGGAAAGCTATCAGACACTCCTTTCTTCTGCTCCTAGTTCAGAACCTCAAAATCCATGGAGCACCCTGACTCTCTACAATGAGGTGCAGAAAAGGTAAAAATGTGCTTTTCCCAAGAAAGGTATAAAGGAAAGGCCATTGCGGAGGCTTCCCGTTGGGCCATCCTCTGAGCATGTGCAAGGCTTTCCTGCGGCTTCAGGAAGTCACTCAACACGGAGCCTCCAATTCCACACGCGCCCGGGGCCAGTCCTCCCCTGGGCACGTCCTGGAGATGCCCAGGTTATGGTATTTCTTCTGAACACAAATTAATATCCAGTAAGTGTAGAAGGTAGAGATGAAGGAAGGCAGACAGGCAGGCAAAATGGGCGGGACGGAGGGAGGAAAAATGAAGGGAGGGACAGGATATAAAGTTACAGTGTTTTTATCTAACGCCTTCCACATGACTTGCTCACACAGATACATTTTAAATATATTGTATACACTATAAATAAGAGGAAGTACTGGAATGTCCCTTCTGAGAAAACCATACTGGAAAATGTCGGCTTTTATCAGGTCCTAGGGCTCCTCCTCCTTACAGCAGGAAGGAGTGGCTTGGAGTCGTCCAGAGTTCTCAGCGTGCCCTTCATTCACCTTCCTGAAAGCCCGAGGCCGCCTACCGGCACCTACCTGGGGGATGAGCTCACTCGGGATCCCGCGGAGGCTGCAGTAGTAGCGCAGATGTTCCCGCGCGGTCAGCAACTCATCCAGGGCGTCCCGCTGCGGACAGTAGCCGATGAGGACGCCGGCCTGGCCAGCAGAGGTCAGACTCACGTCGGCACTGCGAAGACAGAGAGGGCTGAGCCAGCTTCGCGCAGTCCGCTGGCCCCTCGGGCGGGAATCCACGCGCTGTCTACTGCGCTCCCCGCGTCCCCACCAGGGAAAGAGAGGGCAGCAACGTGGGCCGCACCAGGGACTATTTTGACCTTAAGGCAACTGAAAATCTGCACAGCCAGGGAGGCTGTTTGGCTCTCCCTAACCTCCTGAAGAGAGAGTACAGTGTTTCCCTTTAGCAAAGGCAGCACATTTCCATTTGTAAAGACGTCTCCGGGCCAGGAAAAGCTACTTGTAAGGCCTGGACCCAGAGACACACTGGCAATCACTCCTCTCCCGCCCCAACATGCCCCAGCCCCTGCCTTTGTGGGCCGAAGACGCACAGGAGCCTCTCCCTTCTGTCGGGCCTTTTGAGTTTCACTGTGCGTGAAACTCCTGCGTGCCTGGAGGCAAACTGTCTTCCTCACTAACATGCCATACTCTGTTTAACGTCCAGGGTCGCAGCAAAGAACCTAGCAGCACAGAGGGAAATAAAATATCTTCCTCCTCTCTAGCCCAGGAGCCCAGCAAAATAAACTTGACTCCTAAGTCAGAGGCCTGGGTGTTAATAACAGTAAAGCCGGGATTGCCTTGGGGCTAGAAAATAATGTATATATTTAAAGCACACAGCTTTTTGTGATATGTGCTTAATAAGTGGCTATCAGTTATTTTTGACCAAAACAATATATGTAAAAAACACATCAATCCCTAAAACTGTTGAGCAGCTTCAGATTTTTAAATTGAATTTTATTATAGCAATAATATATAATTTCTCATTGGACAGATAGAAAAGTAGAGGACAAAAGAGAATCCATGGACCCATTTCTCAGTGATTTCCAGGATTAATATTTCAGGGTTAATCTTTCAGGAGTGGGCTTGGTGTCTAAAGAGGGTAAAGATTATACAAAATTATACATATTGAAAGAAAAAACCTTGTTTGATTTTATAGTTAACTAACATTCAGGTTGTTTCCTTACTGTTTTGTTCCTACATATTTTTACATGGATAAAATTTACTGACCATGATTTTTAAGGAAGGACACTTCAGGAGGAAAAGTTCTTATTCCTCAATAAAAAAAAAAAATTTGAAAAGAAAGGCTTGCTGAGAAATTATGACTGCTACAATGGGTAATTACTAGCATTTTTCCCAAAAAAACACAGTGAAGAGTTATTACTACTTTTAATTTCTAGCAAAACTCTATGTACATGGAAATAAACTATGAAACCAGACTTTGGGTAAAAGTTTAAGTTCACAGCATCATCTTGTTTTTCCCTTCTAAATCTCGTAAGAGTTATACCCCATTTTTTTTCTAAACTTAGTGTGGCCAAAAGTTTATTTCAGTCTGATTTTTGCTATATAGAAATGTTTTCTGTTTGGTTGCTTTCAGAAACGTTATCAATTTATTTTAAGAGTTTTTGTAGGATATATGCAAGACATACATGCATACATGTGCTTTCTTTAATGATCTTACCTAGATAAAATTATGAGAATTATTTCAATATATAAAATCAGCTTCCTTTTCAATCACTATTTCTGTAAGATTTCACTCAATTACTTGTGAGGTCTTTAAAAATATTCTCTTTTGTTGTGATCAGAAACAAAACATAAATTTTACCATTGTAAAGTGTGTAATTCTGAGTATTCACCATCTTTTCCCAACTCTGTTGCTATCTAGTTCCAGAACGTTTTTCAATCCCACAAGCATTAACCAGTCACTTTCCTCCCCTTCTCCCTCGGGCCCTGACCCTCCAACCGCCTCTGTTTGTTCTGCAGTCCTCACACTATGGAGAGGAGGCTGCATCTCCTGTGGTTCCTTCCCATACTCCACCGGGAATGGGAAGTCTTGTCCCTCTCTTGCATCTGGCTATTCCCACTTAGATAGTGTTTCCTCAGTCAATCCATGTAGTAGCATGGTGTCTTCACAGTATTCTCTTTTAATAGTAAAAATGCACACAAAAGTTATAAAAAAACAAAACAAAACGCTGCCTTTGTGTTGAGGATGACAAAGCTAATGCTGCTCATGCAATGTGGCTGGCTCCGAATTAATAATGGAAGCAGCTGGACACGTCCACAGTGCACTGGCCAGCCCACAATTATTCATTCCATGGCATTTATGTTGAAAGTTAAAAAAAAAAACACGAAAAAGAAAAGAAAGGAGATGACTTTTTAAAAAGTTAAAAAGAATTTAGAGCAGTTTTGGGCTTACAGGAAAATGTAAAGAAAATACGTACAGTTTCTCTCCCCACACAGCGTGCCCTTTCACTGCCGCCTGGCAGTGGTGTGCTAAGTGTTAGAGCTGAAGAAGCAGCACTGATGGATGAACTGAAGCCCACAGTACACGATGGGGCTCACACACTCTGTGTCATACAGCTTTACGGATTTTAACAAGTGCACAATATTAACTATCCACCATTACAGTACCGTAAATAAAGTTTTATTGCCTTAAAAAATCCCACAGGCTCCTACCTGTCCCTCTTCTAGCCTGTGGCCAGCCTTGACAGCTCCTGACTTTTCTTCGCCATGGAGTTGGAATAATACAAGACAGGGTGTTTCGTACCGGCCTCTTTACTTGGTGGGCCCTTGGTGTGTGAGCCCCCGAGTCCCTGTGCTGGAGCTCACCCTCCAGGGAAGACAGTAGGAGGGAAACCTTGGCTGGGTGACAGGGCAGGAGATCAGAGGCTCCACAAGGGGTCAGGGCCTGGACGGCAGACACCCTCAGCAGCAGAAGCTTCTCTCTGTGGGTGTCTGCGAGGGTGCCGAGGGAGGGAGTGACATGAGTGGGGAAGTATAAGACTAGCAGGTAAAGAGTGACAATTCTCTCTCCCCGGAACCCCCGGTTGGACCTCTCTCTCTGGAGAACCCTAATACAGTGCCTCTCATAAGACAGGAAGAGGAGCTTCTTGCCCCCCTTTCCCTCCACCCATGTGCGTGTGGAATGTAGCCCCAGGCTCCGTCTCTCGAGTGGGGGTGGGGAGATTCTCAGCGCCAGGCCCACTGCTGCCTTCCTCCCCCAGGGCTCTGAACAATGATTTACTCTTCACTCATTCCTGCATGGGCAGTGAGACTGTCAGATGAAATACAGGAAGTCCACTTTAGTTTTGCATTCAGACAAACAATAATTTCATGTTAAGTGTATGTCTTACTGTGGAACACTTGTATGTCTCATGCAAAAAACATGTTGACTAGAAATTCAAGTTTCAAGTATTCCCTGTATATGTACTTGCTAACTCTGGAAACTCCCCTGGGAGATATTTCTAAAGGATAGCGTACATATTTGTGCATGTGTATATAATATATAATATATATATGTGTAAAATCTCCAAACATTTCACACATGGGCTACTTAAAATTTATTATTAAGTTTGAAGTTAAGCGAGGCTTCGACTTCTTAGGAAATCTAAGGAGTTCTACAACTAAAAAGAAATTTAATCCTTAAAACTGCTCTGAAAAAAAATCTCAGCTCTGAAAACAAGGAAACAGTGGGATAAACACAGGAAAAATATCTAACTGAAGGCCAGGATTCAGAGATGTGCATCTGAAAATGAAGGGAAACCTGAGGTGCCAACTGAGTCCTGTGTCTCTTTTAGGCCCAGGCACCCATAAGAGAAGAGGAAGGGGCCACTGTGTGGAAACAGTGTGGAGAGCAGAGCAGCTATGCACAGCTGCCATCAGTCCTTCTGTCCGTCTGTCTGTCTGTCTTGGAGGAGATAAAATATGAGGTTCACGCCAGCCATGGCAGACAGACCTGTCACCCGAGCGCCTTCACCTCTGAGATGCCCATCAGTCCCTGAGCAGCAGAGCTCTGTCATTTACGAGGATAAGCACAACACTACTCTGAGCAGCTGAAGATGAAGCCAAACTGCAAAGTTTACAATGAGCTTGGGAAAATATACCAGGATGAGGAAAGCTGGAGTTGAGAAGACAAGGAGGTGCTGGGAGTCTGGTAAATGGCTTGCGGTCAGGGATCATGGAAAGAAAGCCTGGGAAATGCAGACAGACAGGTCCCTAAGAGGACTTACTGGGATCATCTAGCTTTCCTAAGTGCATTACAGTGATTTTCCCATTCTCATTACATGTTACAGTTCTTTGGAGGAAAAGAGAATCATCCTGAGGTTCTAAATGTTTCATTCAATCAAAATTTTATCAGATGCCATAGGTTGAATTGTGTTCTACCAATACCTAAAGTAAATACATAAAGAGTTGAAGTCCTATATTCTCACCATATAGGAATTTGGCCTTATTAGAGACAGGATTTTGCAGAGAAACAAATTAAAATTAAGCTGTTAGGAGGATTCTGATCCAGAATGACTGGTGTCCTTATAACATGGGGGGATTTGGACACAGTGTCATGAACGGGGGAAGATCTATGAACACAAGGATAGGAGATGACTATCTACAAGCCAGGGAGAGGAGTGGATACATGTCCTTCCCAGCCTTGGGGGGCCCCAGTCCTTCTGATTCTGATTCTTTGATTTCAGATTCCTGGTCCCCAGATCTGTGGAACAACAAATTTCTGTCATTTAAGGTTGTGGTGCATTTTTATAGCAGCCTTAGCAATCAAATACACTAGGAATACCATGAAACAGAGTCAAGAGGAAGAACAAAGATAATAAAATAAGGCCCATAGGCAATACAGATTCTGGAGTGGTCAAACACAGACTTTAACATTGGCCAATTAATCATAAACAAAAAAATTAAAAATGAAAACATGAAAGACACCAGGAAGTTTGGGCTGATGAAAAGAAAACAAATGAAAATTCTGGACTATCAAGTTAAAATAAAATCCACAAAGCAATAAAGTACTTTGAACATAACAATTAATATTTTTTAAAAATGGTAGAAAACAATATCAGGAATACCAATGTCACTACACTCCTGGCATTAAAAATAAAATGTGGTAAATGCATAAAATGCATAAAATTTCTGCATAGAAATGTGACAGTTTAGATAAAGGGAACAGATTCTTCA